CAGCAAGGTTATTCACCTTGAACTCCATTCTCTCCTCCACAGGCTTTGTGGTGGAGAGAAAGCCAAAGGCTGGAGGAAAGACTAAGGCACTTGGTTTTGAAAGTAAAGCACCTGCTTTGGGGTCCAGACCTCACTCTCTATTCATCATGTGACTTAAGGAAGATCTTTTACTGTCTCAGAGCACCAATCTCCTCAAGTGCAAAATGGTTTAATAATAACCATATCAACAGTACAGGGTTACTGTGAAATGCACTAAGATGCCAGATATGCACATGCTTATCACAGAGCCTGGCACCTCGTGGGAAGCTGATTGGCTCCATGCCAGTGCCCAGCCCCAGGCCTCCATGCAGGACACAGCTGTAGCAGCGGCTTCTGCCCACACGGTAGGACAGCTGGCTGACCATCAGGGGCGGAGTGGAGCCAACCTCCCTCCCCACCTCTGGGCTGCCACTGATGGTGCGGGGGAAGGAACACAGGTCTGGAGTCAGAAAACCTCAGTCCGATCCAATCCCATCCTTACTCTTTGTTGTACAGCTTTGGCCTTAGTTACTTCAGTTCTCTGACTTGAAGTTTCCTCACTTACAAAATCGGAATAATATTTAACTTATGGGGTTTCTAGAAGGCTGAAGAGTGGGGATTTATATAAAGCATAAGATCTAGCACATAGTAGGTGCCAATCAATGTTATCTTCCTCTTTGGGCTTTTGCTACTAGGAAGTCCAGAGCCAGATGAGAATTTAAAAGCTATCAGCCTGCATATTCAGATTAATTTTTAACATAATATAATGCCATTTTAATATACACTGGCCTTGTCCTGCCTGTCTTCATTTATGTTTTCCTGATCCTGAGTATTTATTTCTCTTACAGCTATTTTATTGTAGGTACTTTTAGTGGGTATTTCCCAAAATTCTTTGTGGAACCAGGTGGTAGAACCTAACTGACGCAGGAGAAACGGATCTTTATCACGACTGTGTAAGTGCCTGTGTGATTTGGGGCACAGAGCCTCTCTGAACCCCAGCGTTCTCATCTGTAGAATGAGGGCGATAATAAATGTGCGGAGTTAACCCATGGTGCCCGATAGGCAGGCGAGCCTGTCCAATGCTGTTACGGGAAAGACAGACAACCAAAGCCCATCACATAGGAATCCAACAGGGATTTGTTCGGAAGCCTCTTGACTTGGACTGAAAATAAACAAGGAGAAGGTAACACCATGAATAAAACATATAAAGATGAAGATTTGAGCACAGACTTAAGAAGAAAGTGCCAGACAAAAGACCTAGAAAATGATCCCACTGAGCGAGAGATCTCAGGGAAAAAAAAAATCAGGTACCAGGGCAATGAGTCACAACCAGAGTACTTACAGCCAGTATTTCTTTAGACTGAAAACAATGCACATTGTGTGTCCCGGAATTGTAACAGGCACTCCTTTTCTCAAGAATGTCAAAGCAATGGCCCAGACCTGACAAAGCCCCATTACCCCTGCCATGGGGAGGCCAGGGTTCCTAACACGAAATTGGGAGGTTTGATTGAATGAATGTTGAATAACCTGGCATAGCAGTGAATTGGAATAGAAAACCCCAGAAAATAAACCTATGCAGGAAAACAGAGTTTGAATTGGGCCGAGGCCCACCCGCTCAGTAATAAAATAATGGCTCACGGCATGTTCTTCGGTAATTTCTTCCAGGGCGACACCTATTCTTGTGCTCTGCCCGCATCAGTGCTTCCTCGACATTGGCAGATAATCTCAGGGCCTCCTAATGGCGCCGATGCAGAAGCCAGGCGCTTCCCTGATGCCTCGAAAATAGATTCAATTTTACATACATCAGGCTGATTTCAGAGGCAATTTCTACATCTCCAGCGTAAGCAGTACTTACATTTTTTCTCCCTCAAATCTTATTCCAGGGGTCCCGCAGGGCATTTTAAAAGGTACCTGATGTATTCCACAGCGTTCAGAGGAATCCCCAGAGCACGTTTGTGGCTGTAGCCTGCGGACCCTGGATGCACAGATGGAATCCTAAACTGTTGATTGATTCGAACGAATGCAAAACTTCTTAGTAATTGAGTGTAATGTCAATTGAAATTTGTTTTTTTTTCTATCTTTTTTTTAAAAAAGCAATTAAAATGAATGTTTATACATATATGCCTGTGTGTGTTGTATATATACACAGCACACACATAATATCTCATGGAAATACTATCTCTGGATTTTAAAATGTCTTAAGAGATTCTATGTAGCATGCTTCCTGCTCCTCTCTGGCTGGCTAATCCACCTCAGTCCTAGGTGCTTTCCTCTTAGGAGTCCAAGTTTTAGCCCACGGGGACACAGTGGTAATGTTTCCCCTTGAAATCTAAGAAATTGATGTTACCCAGGTTTTTACTTCAGATCAGAAAGCTTAAGATCACAGACCTACATCATGCGTCTCTGACCACAATGTTCTTGGCATTTGGAGTCCTTCAAGGACGTCCTTACAAATGGACAAGAGTGTGCATGAGAGACTGGCCTGTACAGGAAGGGTTTGGGCTGAGTGGGTAGCACTGGGACAGTATGTTTCATCAGCTAGACTTGCCCCTCAGCCAAAAGCAGGGGGTCAGTGACAAGTTCATCCAGCCAGAGGCCAGGGAGCTCAGTAAGGACACACCAAACCTGCTTCCTTGCTCACCCTGTTTCTGCCTCTCCTGGCCTATGTCAACATCCCCTTGTTCTGGACCCCAGGCAGTGTATGAGTCTCAGCCATTCACATTGGTTGAGAACGGAGAGAGGACCAGCTTTGTGGTTCAGCAGACCACAAACTTGCTCAGTACTCTGAGAAAAATGACGTTAGATATTTGCTCATGAAAGAGTCAGTATGTGCCATTAGACTTTGTCTTTAAAAGACATTACTCATCCCTAAGAAGGGCTCGGACTTCCTCAGTAATGGGCAAAGGGACAGCATCCGTCTGTTGATAGGATGCAAAGGGAAGCACACAACATCGTCAACCTGTATTATTTATCCGTGCCAACCTGCATAACCTGAATGCAATCACGATAGAAAAGTCCGATAAATCTGGACTGTGGAATCCTCTACGGGACAACTGGTCTACACATTCAAAAACATCAGCATCCTGAAAGATAAAATAAAGGTGGGAGGTCTATTCTAGGTGAAAGGGGATGAAGAGACTTGATGACCAAATATAATGTGAGCCCCTTGATTGGATCTTGGATTACAACACTACTGCTACTACTACTGCTGCTGCTGCCACTACTACTGCTACTACTACTACTACTACTACTAATAATAATAATAATTTTAGGGCCATTGAAGAAATTCAACTATGGGCTGTTATATTACATGTTAAAATAAGATTACATATCTTGGGTAAGATAAGTTCACAGTGGTCATGTTGAAGAGCTGTCCTAGTTCTTAGGAAACACATGCTGAATTCTCTGGAAGAAGAGTGTCATGGTGTCTGCAATGTATTTCTAAATGCTTGAGAATATGTACATATATTATATATTTTATATTAGAAGACAGAGAGCACGCACAAGTATTACAAATAAGAGCAATTGGTGAATCAAGATAAAGGCTATAAGAATACTTATTTTACTGTTTCCCCCCAATTTTTTTATAGGTTTAAAATGAATCTCTCTGTCCCAAGGCAGCACAGCAATATTTGAAGAAGCATTTCCTCCCTTGAAGTTTAGTGTTCTTAACCAGGGTGCCTATAAGAACCCCTTGAGTGACTATTACAAAACCCACACCCCTTCCTGCCCCTTATCCCCTCTCTGACCCTCACCCACCCCCTCAACCCCTCTTCCTTCAGGAGATTTTGACACAGTGGGTAAGATGTGGGGCCTAGATATGTATGTTTTGAAAACTGCCTCAGATGGGATGGTTCTGTGCTACACAGGAGGTTCAGGACAATGGGTCTGAGTTACCCTCCAGCCCTGGGTCTATCAGGGACTAGGCTGTGGAACTCTGGGAACATCAGCAAAACACACTGAGCCTTGGAGACCTTGCCTATAAGGTGGGAACAGTAACACGGGCTGTGGTGAGGAGGATAGCGGTCAGTACGTATTTGCTTCTTTTCTCTCTCTCTCTTCTCAAAGATTCTCATCCTACCAAACTGATCATATCTAAAGCAATGTTTACAAAACATGGTTTCTTCCACTTGCCATGGGCCCCGTGTGTGCAGGTCACCTGTCTGGGCTCACATTCCTTCTGATTTCCCACCCTCCCCAACGTGGGGCCGAGGCTAGGGAATCTAGCATTCCTAGCAAACCCAGGAAAAGAACTGGTGGTCAGAAAGATAAGAACAAAAGTCAGCTCCCTTGAGTCTGGTCACTACGATAACTTTAGGTCACCAGTCTGGAGGTTGTCCTTTGGAGGAGGGTCAGCCCTGAAATCTTGGTCACTTCTATTGGCTTGGGGTCCTGTATTAACTCTGTGTGCGGAATCAGGTTCTCCTCACTAAATGCCACTTGCTACATCAGCTGTAGCTTGGAACTGGCCAGGGTTTGGGGGGCATTGCTTCCAGGTCGATCTGAATATGTTACTCATGAGCCCTGGGACTTTAGAGCAGTTGCTTCTCTGAGCCTCAGATTCCCAAACGTCCAACATGGAGATAGTAATAACCCAGGACTCATTTACTTGCATGGTTTACATGAAACACAGCTTTGGAAAGCCGAAGATACTCAATTCAATATGGCATGTTTTTCTCCTTAAGTGCAATAACCATGTCTTCCTCCTCCTTTTCTACTAGTATGAGTTTTAAACTGTATTTATGTCCACGAGCCATTAAAATGGTTGCTCCTGTTTTAAGGCCAATTCTTCAATTCTCCTTTTCACCTCAGAATGAGTGGCCCCAACTTTTTGCCAGGGAGAACTATCATCCTGGACCATCCCAGGGAAGCATCCCAACCCCATACCCTGTAGCACCTGACCATGGTGTGGGGTCCACAGCAGGGGACCAGGGTTAAGCTGGACCCCAGATGTTCCCTTTCCCTGAGTTGGCTCAACTTACTGAATCCATTCACGTCCTGAGAGCTAGAGGAGAACCCTTCATCATTGCGGCCGGTGCTGAGCTTGGTGGTGGGTTTGTCAGTCAAGGCCACGGGCCCCATCTCCCTCTGGGCTCCACTCTGTGTCTCCTTCTGCTTCTTGGCCAGCTTCCTTTGGGACATGTGCAAGGGGAAAAACCACAGTCAGATGCAGCCAGTTGCATGCAAGCATTGAGAAAATCAGACTGCTCTCCTTCCCCACCCATCACCCTCAACCCCAAACCAGATTTGGTCTCCAGAAACAGTCAAGGTGGGTCCTTCAATGCCAAGGAGGAATAAACCTAAATCCTCCTAAAACCATTAATGGCTTCAATTTACTCAGAAATATAATATACATCCTGCCTCATCCCCTTCTGTGGGTGTGTTCTTTAGGCTGAGCTTAGAACAGGAATTCAGTGAGAACTGCATGATGCTTCCCTTGCTCTCCTGTCAAAGGGAGGGGGAGGCCAGATGGATCTTCCTGTTCCCATGGCTCTGAATGAGATTTAAACAGAGTCTAGCCTTACTCAGGGACTGACTGAGCTCAGGAAATAGCACAGAAAACTATGGTAGACTGAAATAGGGTTGGAGGTTGGCAGTAGGTAAGGGTGGAGTTTAGTTAGCCTTGTAGCTCAAAAGGAGAAAAGTGAAAACTGAACCTGATGCCTAGCTTTCCCATAGGAATAATAAACTCTAAGAACTGGATGGGCATCTACAATACTACTAGTTTATTTTTTTAATTTAATTTTATATTTTTAAATTTCTTAAAAAAATTTTTTTAAAGATTTTATTTATTTTTAGAGAGGAAAAGGAGTGGGGAGAGAGAGAGACAGAGAGAGAGAGAGAGAGAGAGAGAGAGAGAGGGAGAGAAACATCAATGTGTGGTTGCTGGGGGCCATGGCCTGCAACCCAGGCATGTGTCCTGACTGGGAATTGAACCTGCGATGCTTTGGTTCACAGCCCATGCTCAATCAACTGAGCTACTCCAGCCAGGGCTAATACTGGTAGTTTAAAGCAGTGTTTTCAAACTCAGGTGTAAACTGGAATCATTTGGGGAACTGAAAACACACACACACACACACGCATACAGAGGCCCAGGCTCAGGGGGGTAGGACAGTGCCTGGACCTTTGCCTGTCCACCAAGCTCCCCAGGTCATTCAGACACTGTCCAATGAAGGTTAAAGCCATTAGTTTTGGCATCAGGCAGACCTGGGTTCACAGCCTACCTCTACCACCTCCCAGGTGCATGACTCAGGGCAAGTTCCCTAACCTCCTTAAGTTCTGTTCTCCTGCTCTGTATACTGTGGCAAATAACAGGACCCACCTCAAAGGGTCGTGAGAACTAAAGGAGACAATGTGTGATACACATAGAGCATGGTCCCGGCAGAGTGAACATTCAACATGCGGCAGCCACTATTCCCATTTTTACATCACCACCACTGGACCAACCAACTACATTCCAAAGTCCGAATCGCCCTCAGCAGCCCCACTGTGAAACCCCCAGGTTACATCAAGTGAGGGAGGCTCTGGCACCTCACCGGGGAACTAAAGGGTTAAAAACTTCTTCGCTGTATGGATTTGAAATCTGCTTCCCTGAAGTTTCAGCTGATTTGTCTTAGACCTGTCATCAGAGATAAAGAAATGTGACTAAGCCCTCTTGCATATGACAGTCCTTCAAATATTTCCAAAAGACAACATGGTCCCCCTGAGCTTTCCCAACACTTAAGCATCTAAACGTAGTTATTACGTTCCTATGACATGAGATGCTATGGGTCACCCATGAAATACACTGAGGGTAAATTCTTCCAGGTCTCTTCCTCCATTTTTCACAGAACTTGGTTTCGACTTCCCCCTTGGCCAACATGAGAAGAGCAGATGCCCCAGGGAGGTCAAAATCAGTGCCGTACAGGGCATACTTTTCCAAAGTTGAGCCCTCCTGATTATGAAATGGGAAGTTTCAAGAGGTAATGATCTCCCTGTCAGAAGAGGTATTAAGTGAAAGAATGAACTTGGACTTAGATGTATTTTGGAGGAGCTCATTCAGGATCAGTTCTAGTCTGACAGTGTGATAGTAGCCTCCTTAGTGTGGGTCCCTTGACCTTGGTGTAGATTGCACAGGATAACAGATGACACACTTCAATGGGAGTAATTCGAGAAGAGTTTATGTACAGAAGGACCACCAACGAAGGTGAGAAAAGGGTGTGTGACTGGAGAGCTGACGAGCACTTGTGTGTCCAGAAGGAAAGCAGAAAAAGCAGGAACCAGAACCCCGAAGGAGAGAGTTGTGAAGAGCCCACCTGCATAGAAGTGGCCTTCCCTCAGCGGAGCCAGCCCACCCTGGGTGACTTCCCAAGGAGGAAACCAGAGGCAGCAGCACCCTGCCTACACTCTCCCCTCTCCCTCGGACCTCCTACAGTGGCTCTCATTGGCTAGACCTGCTGCCAGCCAGTGGCCCGAGGTCGCATAGATCTAGCTGTGAAAGCAGAGAGAGCAGAGTGGAGAGGTCTGCAGAGTGAATCCAGACTCTGAAAATCCGTGCCAAGAAGACAAGAAGAGATTTTATCTCCCTCCTTTGGCTACTACGTGTATATAAACACAGCCTAAAATGGAATTCCTCATCATTTATATACTGATTTATTTGCCCCATTGGCCTGGGGAACACAGGGCATCCAGGCAGAGGGATGCATGTTTAGTTACAAGGCTCTGTCCCCAGGCACACGGTTCCATGAGGGAACCTATGCCAGGCAGAGAGGAAACCAAGAAATGAAGCCCTGGACCAGTGGTGGCTTTCCTCACCATCCGCAGGCAGCCAGACAGGGAGGGGGCGGACGCCAAGGAGGGAAAAATGAGACCCTCTGCTGCTGCTGCTATTTCAAAGTTTTATTCTTCATTTATTATCAAAAAGGAATATGTTTAAAAATGTATATGTGACCTTCTTAATCATATTTGAAAAGCTATACGGCGGCTCCTTTGCCTCTTTCCGAGTTTTACTCATGTTGCCCCGGCAGGAAATAAAAGGAAATCTGATAAGAGAGTAAACTTTAAAACTCTAAGTGAGTATGTATTGGAGTCTTTTATATTTCCTTGGTGGGGCAGAACTCCTAACCGATCTCATTCCATTCAGGGTAAAATAATATGGAGAGAGTTGTCTGCAGCACAAATCATTGCTCTCCAAAGGGATGATATTAATAAAAAATGGCCTTGCTGCATCTATGAAAAATGGAATTTTACAGAAGTGTGTGGGTAGCTCTGACCACCTGGATAAAAATATAAAGAACGGAGTCTCTCCAAGACATATTTAAAAATGAGATAACTAACCAAGGTGTAAAAACTGACCTACAACACCCCTGGACCTTAGCCCACGGCTGACACGGAATGTTCCTGGTGATGATGATGCTTTATAATAATGTGAAGATGTATAGGCAGGTGTTTCAGCAGCAGGTCACTATGCTACAAAGTGGAAATGGTGGGAATAGAAGAAAAAACACAAAACTGCAGTTTGAGGACAAACCCTTAACAGACTTTGAGATTTCAGTACTGAAGAAATCATCTCAGTAATAATGGAAAAATCATATTTTTCTACATATTGCCATCGAGTTTAATTAATTCCCCTCCCTTTTCAGAAAGGGGGACATCCAAACCAGTGGGAGGGCATGCAAGACCCTCAGGCTGGGTCCCCAAACTTCAGTTTAGCCTTATCTCCCACGCCTGGCTCCCTACAGGAAACACCAGCTACTCATCTCCCTTCTACAACCATTCCTCAACACTCTTGTTTTTTTAACGTGTTCCCATTCTTCTCCACTGGCCACCTCCCCTTCAAGGCTCAGTGTAAGTCCAAGTTCATATCTTCTTGAGGTTTTCTACAAACAGATTTGCGGCTTTCTCTGCTTGGTGGACTCCCCGTTGAACAAACATTTATTGGGCACCTACATGTGCCAATCTCTCTTAGATGAAAGGTCATAGCGACAAAGCACTAGAGTAACCTTGACCTTCATAGAACATAGAGACTGATGGCAAAGACAGGCACTAAACAGATAATCTGGAAGAAATATAAAATCACAGAGGTGTTAACAGCTAAGGAGGAGAAACACATGAAACTGTGAGAGAACTAATGGCTAGTTTGCGCCCTATTAGGAGATCAAGGAAGGTCTTGTTGCCATGTCAGCTAAGCACTTGACTGGTCCAAACGCAGTGATTCAACCTTCCCACCCACTGGGGCGAGAACCTCTTGAATGAAGGGCTTTTGACTTCTTGCACCTACTCCAATTTCTTGCTGAGTGTCTGGCACATAGCTGGTGTCAATAAATTTGTTACACAAATTTATATTTAAAACTCTACAATTTGAAGCATAGAAAAACTGTCATCCTATTCTGACTGCAAATTATAAGCACTTTAAAAAAAAGATACATACAAGGAAAGAGGAAGAGAAACCTGCATGAAATTACTCTGTGACCTGGAATATTTATGCTTGTGAATATTTTTGGCTAAAGCTTTGCATTTCCTCTCTGTGGTGGTCACAGGCCTCTTGGGCTGCTGGAAGAAGTAATGGAATGTTCACAAAAGTCAGAGATTTTTCCTCTCAGAGCCCACAGAGTAGCCATAGCTATACATATTTTTTAAAAACCCTCATAAAATAGTCACGTGATGCATGGAATGGCCATATAACTTCTGGAGTCCTCAGATCCCTGAAGACTCAAGTATTTGTGACTTCACAAACTTGGAATTTTCTTTTTCTCCTTGTTCTGAGATTCTTGCCAGCTGGGTCGCACAATTTCACCAGCAGGGGGTACCAAAAGCTGGTAAAAAGAGAGCGTGCACAAGTCTTCATATTCCTCTGCAGGTTCATTTCCAGGGGTGAAGAATGCTCTAAGACATAGCAATCAGAAGTTTACTGCTTCTGACAGTGGGGACGGTGTGATGTGGCCGCAGCTCTTGACATTCTGTCTTTTAACAGAGCATTCTGAGGTCTCTCTGACCTTTGCTCAGTAGCTGAGTGAGGCTAGGTGGCAGGGAGGTGCCTGTGGTGGCCCAGGAGTCCTGGGTTTATTCTAAGCACCACTCTTTATATGGGACAGTGGCAGGTGGGAAGGCTCATGGGAGGGGCTGCAGGGCTGCGAAGGGATCCGAGGTCAT